AAAAATGTTATGGAATTTGCTAACCGTACAGTTGACCATTACGGCAGAACAAGGACATACAGCTCCAATTTTTTATTATCTAAAAGCTGAGTTACAAAATTGTATCGTCAATCATCTGATGAACCGCTGGAGGTTTTTTGAAATTGGATTGCAATTTTTCATTATTTTATCGTTTGTAAACAAATTTTGATCCTGAACACGACGATGCTTCCCCAACTCAATCCCACTCGGATGGAATTATCGCCGTCATCAAAGGGGGAGTCTGGTTCTCTCCTGATCTCATTATCCCGGGCGTTTAAGCCAAAATTACAAAAGCCGTTAAATATTTATCGTCCCTCATTTGCTGATGATTAAAGTTTGAGAAATCTTCGCGGCCGACTGGTTTCCAAGGGATGGCGAAACGCGGATCCCGGCCAGAGCGAGTTCACGATTACGCTCTAATTTGTTTAATTGGTGATCTTGTTTTCTTGTTGGAATGACTTATAAAGCTTAATTCGGCGAAGAAGCCCCTGTGGTTTCACGGCCTCCTACCGCAAGGACCGTGAGAAGGAAGTGAGAGGAGGTCATCGCCTTGAACCTCACGATGATCTAATGTCCCCCTAGCCAAGTTATGGTTCAAACGAAGGATGTGGTTAAGTTGCCTTTATAAACATTTTTAGGACACATTTATGTTATATCATACTGAACCACTATGTACAATGTTCTTAATTGGTATGTTCGCACCGGGCACATTTTATTTTCTTCTTTCTTAAAAATAAAAAGAGTATTTAAATTTTCATTATTCAACTTTGTTGTGTCACACCTCGTCATCAGACCCGAAGGGGATTAAAGGTGCGTTGAGTCGGCCCTGTCGACGTCACGCGTAGTAGTACGTTACAAACCGCCGAACACGCTTGGTCGGACCTCGCCAATTGGCCTAACCTCATTTTTGTCTCTCCTCAAAGTCAACCCTCGTTTTCTTTTCTCTTTTTTTACCCTCGTATACAGCAGGAGTATTCTCATTTTATGTTTTACNTAATATTATTAAATTACTATAAAAATAATAACAATTAAAATAATTACTTTAATTATTTGGATGTTTGATATTATTTATGTACATATTTAAAATGGGAGGTAGATCAAATTTACAAATATGAACATAAACATATTATGTGAACACATGATATTATTTATGTTCATATTTCTACATTTGATCTACCTCCCATTTTAAATATGTACATAAATAATATCAAACATATTATTTATATAACATATATACCAATGTTTCTTTCGAGGCAAAATACGTACTATCAACGCTTGGGCGACATAAAATCTTAAAAAGGCTTATTTTGATATAACAATCCAAAAAAAGAACAGACTGTCAAGAAATTCTAAAAGAATTAACACCTAAAAAGATCACATTCTGGTGGTGAATGCATCTACAATCTTAAAAACTGGAGATACATACAAAAATGATAATATCTTGGATGCCAGGGCACAAAGGAATTCTGGCTGACGATCAAGCAGAAAATCAGTAAGACGATGTAGCCCCCGGCCAGATACGTTGGGATAACAAGATCAAACATAGACGATTTTAGAATGGTTAAAAAAAAAGAGAAATGGACGAACTCCAAAGGCGCCAGACTGAACTCATGATTAAAAGCCCCTCACCAAACCTGGTAAACACCATTGCAGATAAACAGGGTAAGACTATGGAAAGTGACAGGATCACTGGCATCTGAGAAAACAGCTACACAACACGGGAGATTCAATGATCATCCAATTTGTAGGTTGTGCAATAAAGATGAAGAAGAAAAAACTGCCATCTAATCAGCTTTGAATGCGCGCAAGTCAATGGAATCATAATCTAGAGTAGCAAGAATTTCTGGGAAACAGAATTGCAGCAATTAAAATCAGTGATCTACTACTTTTTAAAAGAACGTAATAGGAAAAATAAACTAAGCCTGAAGGTATTAGGGAATACAAAACCCCCTCATCATCATCATCATGTTCCTCTTCATAAATTTACATATTCCTGTTCATAAAATGATGATTACGGGTCAAGACATATCTTGACAAAATTACCAACGAAATTTCTTCATCAAGAAAAGAACCTGTAGTTTGCTCATTTTTGATCATATCAGTCAGACTATTATCGCTGGTATGTCAAGGCCCATTACTGAAGACAGCGAGAAGCTAAAACACATCTTGTAGACCATACCTGTGAGGATATCCAGACGAATATACAGGGTGAATTGCTACTCGTGCTACAAACTTCTCCAGTAGATTCTTCACCCTAAAATGAACAAAAAAGTTCATATTGTCCATGGTCCGATTCTCAACCATTTCAGAGTAATTTCGCTTTTTATCGATTTTGAAAGATATCACGTCCTGGCGTCGGAAAATCGTGATATCTTTTAATCTAAACATTTCTCTTAAAATCTATAAGCACCGTTGAAATCCCCGTTAATTTTTAGAGAGAATCAAAATCATAATTCCATTGAAATTTTTTAATTTAATTTAATGCCCATTTAGTATGTAATGCTTAAGAAGTTTACAAACAGCTAGAAGGTCAAGGAAGAAAGACCCAAACGTTTTGCCACCTTCATCTTCTTATTGAAAAATTAACGGGGATTTCAACGGTGCTTATAGATTTTAAGAGAAATGTTTAGATTAAAAGATATCACGATTTTCCGACGCCAGGACGTGATATCTTTCAAAATCGATAAAAAGCGAAATTACTCTGAAATGGTTGAGAATCGGACCATGGTCAATATGAACTTTTTTGTTCATTTTAGGGTCAAGAATCTACTGGTGAAGTTTGTAGCACGAGTAGCAAGTCACTCTCAAACATTAGCAATCCTTGAACCACCATTTTTTCTCTTTTTGTCATCAACATCTTGGTCTCACAACCACTAAATAAGAAAATGACGAGTGCGTTGGAAGCGTTATTAAATCAGGTAGTTTTCCTCAAATTTGCTGCCTTCTGAGACTAAAATTAGAAACTCTGGATTACTTTATACACTTTCCGATTTACACAATTTTCCACTCTTTTTGTAGTTCTGGCTGAAATAAAACACAAAAAATTAGCCCAAACATTTTGCCACCGTCATCTTCTTATTGAAAAATTAACGGGAATTTCAACGGTGCTATTAGATTTTCAGAGAAATGTTTAGATTAAAAGATATCACGATTTTCCGACGCCAGGACGTGATATCTTTCAAAATCGATAAAAAGCGAAATTACTCTGAAATGGTTGAGAATCGGACCATGGACAATATGAACTTTTTTGTTCATTTTAGGGTGAAGAATCTACTGGAGAAGTTTGTAGCACGAGTAGCAATTCACCCTGTATAATTAAAATTTAATTATATAAAATTTATATAAAATTTATATAAAATTTAATATATAATTAAAAAACAAACTGGACAACTAGTTCCATTATCATCATCATCCTGTTCGAACGTAATAACGATTTTATGATCAAGAAACGTAAAAAAAAGGATGAGTTGCTTGAACATCTATCACAGAAATTGTTTAATAAAAATTGTATTTTATCCTGTCTTAGTATTAGGTTTTGGTCCTGTTTTCCTTTCTAATTATGTTGTTATTACGATGAGTAAACCAAAGCTTAAACTGAAAAGACTTACAAATGCCCATTGGCATATCAAATACCAGACGTCAGAGCGTGCTATTGTCCATTTTATCACTCTTAACATGATTAGCCCTTATATCTTTGAATGTTTCCCGTGAAACTTTGTTTGGTTTCTGTCAAAAGAGTTCAGAGGATTTTTGAGGTATTTTGTTTCAACGGGAAGTAAAGTTTAACAAGGTTCAAATTATTAACGGATCCACGGACCTGGGCGCACTTAGCAAAGGAGTTTTTTTCCACCTCGCTCAATTTACAGCGGCACATTCTCGGAAATACTATTTACGCCAATCAGTTTTCCCCCTTGGTTTCGTAAAATTTGCGGCAGGAAAAGGGAAAGTCCCGGAATTAGCTTTATTGCCGGCAAGAACGCTTCCGAGGCCCCGAGGACTTTTCCTTTATCGATTTATAAGAGTTGCTGAGGGTTAAGATTATCCTCAGTCGGTTTATAATCTCATGAAAAAATTTATTTGAAATTTATGTAGTTTGCAAATAGTTGCGTAGAAACGTTTTCAAAAAGGAAGAAAATAACAGATTTATTTGGTAGAAAAAAATTGATTGATCTGGTTTTATCAAAAGACCTTATTAAATTGATTTTTCACTAATAGATAATTATGTATCTAGGAAATTTAATATATCGGGTTTAAATATAATTTTCTAGTAACAAGACATTTGTTAATGATTCATATTTTTAATTATACCATTTTTGTTTTTTAAAAAATATGTCACTGTAAATATTGTGTACACAAAATTATTTTCAAAATGTAAAATACTTACAGGGATATTTAATTTGTATTAAATATAATTTTCATGTACACAAAAATTTCACTTTTTGCAAAAAATGGTTCTATTCAAAAATTTGTTGTTTACACTATCTGGATTTCAAGCATAAGCATTGCATTAATGCTTGAAATCCGGCTGGTTGTAAATAACAAATTTGTGAGTAGAACCATTTTTTACAAAAAGTAAATCTACATATTCACCCCACCTTCATCATTTCTACCTCGTCAATTTCTGTTACGTTGGGGAAACCGTTCTGTTTATTTGTTGTGCATAAAAAAGCTTTAAGTTGTTTGCGTTATTGTGTTACCACAATTCTAAAGCTACATTTTTCGTACGTCTCATATCTGTTTAGCATGGGAAATTTCTTCTGTGCACACTAAGTTTGGAAAAGGACGATTTCATTAATGTTTTTTTTTTTCGTTTTTTGATAGTAATGTTATCGTGACGGCATCCAACTATTGTCATCCTTTTGCCGTCTTCTGTAATACGAAAATGAGGTTAAAGTCGTGAGCGTGCGACGGTGATCGTGATAATAAATTTTTCGAGGCTGCTAAAGGTTGCATACGCTGAATTTTGCAAAACGCCTTACCTGTCAAGCGTAACCGCGATAAGGCTGTAGACTGATGCTGCGACTGAAACACCTTGGACGTACGGCACCGTCTTGCACATCCACCAGCCGAGAACCCATGCTGAAAAACAAAAGCCATATTTAATATAGTATGTTTTTTTATCTGAAAATGTTATTTCACCAGTAAGGTGAAAACAGATATGACATGCTTTGAACTGCTGTAATACAGAATATTTTTGATTCCCCTTTTATCATTTATCATTTTTATCAATTTATAATGAACCATTTAATAATTTTTGTCCTTTCAATTTGCAAATAAACTAGCCTGTATGGGACTAATAACAACAAATGCAGGGCAAGAGGCAAAGATGTTAAATTTGAAAAATTAAATTCACTAGTTTTCGTGGTCCGCTTGACCAATTGGTTGAAAAATGGCGAAAAGGAGGGAAAGGTGGGGTTGAGATGGGAAGTTGTGTCCGAGAGGATCGAAGTCACGATAGCTCAAGTGGTAGATAGCTGTGTATCTAGCCGAAGGTCGTGGGTTCGAATCCCGCTCGTGACACTGACTTTTTAATCTCAACTAAAAACATTAATTAATTTTTTAAAATTAGTTAAGCCAAAGTGTTAATGAAAATAGGTACAACACGTAATTTGGAATTAAAATAGTATGGCTTTAACAGTTAGAGATCTCTATACTATCGGTCATTGTATATCCATCACAATATTTTTTCCTCTTTGTAACTGTTTCTCTCTCACTCTCTCTATTTCTCTACCTACTTACATCCACCCTACTTACACAACAACCCTATCTTCTTATTTAATTATCTGCTTTTCCTACCTTTCTACCTGCACACCTATTACATTCCATGTGCCTAACTATCTATCAACCTATCTTCTACCTATTTATNATAAAATTAGTACAAATAATATATTTATAGTAACAGTATTCCATAAATGTTAAGAGATTGAGCCAAGATACTCAACAAAAATCCTGTAATTTGGCCGTTTCCGATCATTTTGGTTATTCTATTTTCACTGTTTTGGCATGTGTAATGTGTGTCGGCTTCTCGGCATGAGTATATTGGTTATAAACAGGATGAGTACTCGAGGTAGGTCGGGCACTAATAACTATATCTATATTTATTCTCCAATATCACTTTATTTACCACTGACCATTTAAAACTATGTCAAGTTAAGGTTTAAGGGGATCGAAATAAATAAATAATTTCCGTGTAATCTCAAAATAAATTAATGGTTCTCGATCATCCGATTGACAATAGGTCGGGTTTTGGTCCAAAATGGAAATCTAATTGTAGAGGGCTCACGCGATGCTGATAATTGGCCGGTTGCGTCATTCGATCGTTCCTTCATAGACTGCGTGTATCCGTAACCTTATAATTACGCCCTGTGGAACATATGTGCCCCGTTATTTATAGCGTGGTTGAACCAACGTCTAACAATACAGCGATCAGTCTCAGACCTCCAACTTGTCAAGTATCCAAAAAATTTAAACTGGGACATGCTCGTTGAAAGTGTGATCTTATTTTTTAAAAATCAAATATAAATTAAGTAAAGTCAAAAGACACCGGGTAATTGTGAAAATTTACAGTTTGGCGTGGTCCTCGCTATTATGCTTTGATGGACGTGTTTTGACTTCTCTTCACCTTCTGTAGTGTGTTTGTGTGATTTTCTTGCAACTACAATTAGGAACAACGTTCAAAAACAATACAAAAGTCAAGACGACAAAACTGCTTTGATTTTAACGAATAAATATACACATAATGGAAATCAGGATATAAATAATCTATAACTTGCTCTGAGAGAATGAGAAATACTCCCCCTTCCAAAAAAAGTCACAAATATTCACGTACATATACGACATATCATTCATCAAAGACAATAACTCCAACAGCACAGGGAACAGAAAAACAACTCAACGTCCCATTATTGAAGATGACGAGAAGCCGAAACATAACAATAACAGCGAGGATAGGACACCACCAAACTTCAGAAAATATTAGTGTTTATTGAAATTTAGAAAATTTAGAGAGAGAGAGAGAGAGAGAGAGAGAGAGAGAGAGAGAGAAATAAAGAGAGAGAAATAAAGAGAGAGAATGTGAGAAGACAGAGAGAGAGAGAGAAATATAGAGAGAGAATGTGAGAAGACAGACAGACAGAGAGAGAGAGAGATAGATAGATAGATAGATAGATAGAGAGAGAGAGAGAGAGAAATAGAGAGAATGAGAGAAGACAGAGAGAGAGAGAGAAATAGAGAGAGAGAGAGAGAGAGAGAGAAATAGAGAGAATGAGAGAAGACAGAGAGAGAGAGAGAAATAGAGAGAATGAGAGAAGACAGAGAGAGAGAGAGAGAGAGAATGTGAGAAGATAGTGAGACGGGAGAGATGCGAAATTGGTGGTAAATGGCTGAGGCAGAATAGGATGAAAACGTATATTTTTCAAAAAGTATATTATTTATACATATGTGATTGGGGGTGCCTATGATATATTTTAACATCTTTAATTTAGACTACATTGATTTTTATTACCTTTCATACACAATCTTGTAATAGTATTAGGTTAAACCGTAATTTGATATAGGTATTCTACTATGCTATGAGTTATGTTATTTAATGAATGGTAAACCTATTTGATTGTTGAGGTATGCTTGCTTAAATGAACCGTTTCCGGCCATTCTGTACTACTATCCTCGCTGATTTTTTTTCGACCTCAGCAAGATAGTCAAGACCTTGATAATCCTAGGTGATCAAATGAAATTAGGTTTATTGACAAAAATTAAAAAAAAATGTGTTTATAATAATTACTGAGCCTACATTTTAAATACACGAATACATTATTAATCATCGCTGGATATAATAAAAACAGGTGGGCTGCTTCTCTTATAAGTATATTTGCCCTGACTAGAAATGAAGATAGGAAAAAGCAATCCGCCAGCTCGTTCAAAAAATATTAGGTTTTGAATTATAAAGACGAGTAGTACATTTGGAAAGCTCGGGGTAGTTTGTATTCACAGGGACCCTTTGAGAAGGCAGGGGCTGGTATATGCGTAAAAGTGGCGTTCACCCTCTCTTCACCCTCAAGGCCCGAGCATACATCTTAAACAAGAAGCTTACTTATTCAATGGGATCTACGCTCGGTTTGCCCCTTTTTTACACGAGTTTGGGTTACACCGCCTCCTTAAATACCCAAATACGGCGGCTTTCTTGCCCCTTGATACTCCTATTTGGGAATCTTCTCCACCGTTTGAATTACCCAGATTACAAATTTACGCCGTTTCCTTCTTGTACAACTCCACTGTCAAGAAAACCTTCTGATTGATGCCGATGTCATCAACAGGTGAATCTTTTCATTTTCTGAATAATTTTCAATGTTTTGCCTTATGTTCAGTTATTTTTTCGTTTCTTGAAAAAAATTATCACATCATTTTCAACTTCAAGATTATGGTCTAGGTCCGTACTCCACACCGTACCACTGCTAGATCATTTTACAGCCATATACTAAACAACATAATACATTAACATTCAAAATCTTTCATTTGTACATACCATTTTCTCATTTATGACGACTTGTAAGTAAACCTATCTAGCACATCACGAAAAAGTTTGTCTTATCTGGGTGTCCCCTGACATTATTTTGTATTATTATACGTATACTGGGTGTTCGGCTACTCGTGTTACTTTGCCAATAGATTCAAAAAGGAACCAAAAAGTCCTTAACTATGTTCCTAATCTCAACAGTTTCGGAGATATTTCACTTTTTCTGATTTTTTACGATTTCACGACTTTGCTCACAAATAAACTATGATAATGACAAAACGGAAAGGTTTTGTACAAGTCCGTTGATACCATTGAAAATTACGTTAAATTTCTAATAAGATGTGATCAATTTTAAACTTGTAAACGTTAAATTCACTATTTTCGTGGTCCGCTTGACCAATTGGGTTCACCTCTCGTGCCATTAGCTTTTTTTCATCTCAACTAAAATCCTTAATTAATTGTAAACGTTGGTGAAAAAGACGTTTTCTGAAATTTGATGTTCTCTAGGTTTGGAAATAGTAGTTTAGAATCACCATAGCAAGTTTTTCAACTTTGAAAAAAAAAATATTTTTCAATGTTCTCGCTACTAAAACACTTATTTCTCGAACGTTTACAAGTTTAGTACGTCGAACGTCACATCTTATTGGAAATTTAATGTAGTTATTAATGGTACCAACGGATTTATCCAAAACCTTTTAGTTTGGAAGTTATCATTGTTTATTTGAAGCAAAATCGTGAAATCTTAAAAAATAAGAAAAGTGAAATCACTGAAAATGTTGAGATTAGGACCATAGTTAATTAGGACTTTCTGGTTCCTTTTTGAATCTACTGGAAAAGTTTGTAACAAAGGTAGCCGAACACTCTGTATTTGGGGGATATGATCCTAAAAATCTTGACGAAGGAACTGAGTGGTACTTTGACCTGATTTTAATGTTCAAATATAGTAAGGCCGATATCAACCAAATCAAGATTACTACTACTAACGGTACACGAATGTGTGAACAATTAGATATAAGTTTTAACCCGAAGTGCTCGATAAGACAATTAGAACAGAAAGAAAATTCCGTTTTCGTCGTTTCTCCCTCACTACAGTAACTAGAATATGTGTTGGAACGTGTCACGTGGGGGTTGAAACCCCTTGTCTTCGCAGCTTGGCTAAACTTTCTGCCCCAGCGCAACATATACACGCCCCCGGAGTTGATGCAAGTTTAAATATGAGACAGCTCTTCTACTCAAGAGGATTTATGGAGCCAACTTCTAGTATTAACAAGCAAGCGATTAGAGTCTCACCTCTAACGAGTGACTTGACATTAAATGGAATTTTTCAGAGCCGAAAGGTTTTTCGGTTATATACGTTAAAATTGTTATCTTGGGTGAGGTTTCAGGGCCAGGTGACATCGTGGTCATCATTGGATCTTTTGTTGTCATCTATCCTTTTTTTCCTAGTAAGGAAAGTGAGAAAATTATTTCAATCCTCTCACTTTTTCGCCCACAAAATGCTGCAGTTTGTCTACTTACGTTTTGCAATTAAATAAATGTATTTTTTTATTACTATGTTCATTTTTTA